TATTTTGGGGCCTGGAAGTCATGCCTGCAATGATTGAGAGCAGGCCCCGCCTAACTTCAGCTATCTGTCACTGGGGACAGGCTCAAGCAGGGGGACAGGGGGGTGGATGCTCCAGTGACGCCCAAGCATAGCTCTGGTTCAGCCCCATCTTCCTGCCTTCCGGGGAGGAGGGACAGGGAGGCACATGGCAGGGGAAAGCCATAGGCCCTGCCTATACTCCTGGGGCTTAAGCGGATACCTATGGAGAGCAGACAACTACAGTTCCCAGAATGCCATGGGGCTAGGTTGTTTTGGTCTCCCTGAGGCCAGGTGGGGTGGGGTTGTTGGGTCTGCTCTGCGGGCCCTTCCCAGGTAGATCAAAGGAAATCCAACAGGAGTGTGCACACATTTCAGGAGTGTCATACGACACCCACAATCTACACGTTGGAGACTCCACAAATCTCACACCAAAATGCAGCCTCAAGAAGGTTATACGACTTAGTGACACAGGAACACACCCTAACCCTAACCCACAGAACTCTAGGCACGTGCGATCTCAGTACCGCGGTATCCCAGAGCTAAACAATCCGGGATACACAACCCCTGTGACTCCAGCCAGGGGACACACACTTAGCACGCACAGTCCCATTACTACTGACTCCCAGAGACAGAAGAGTGACATGCAATCCTTATGCCGGGCAAGTCTGTCCATCCCGGCACACACGAACTTGCTGGCTGAGTTCATGCTGGCCCAGTCTCCACCCAGGTTTTTTTCTCTGGACACTGACCCATCATCTTGTCACCCCTGTAACTCTAAGCCATGCAGCGAAGGTCTGAGCCTTCCCCCTCGCTCTGCTGCAAGCTTCCTCCCTTCACCCCGTGAGGAGTCTTGCCCCGCGAGGTCCTCTCAGCCTTTAGTGAGAAGCCCTGCCCCCTCCACCATTGCGAGCAACCATGATGCGCCTCCCCTTTCCTCTTTGAAGAGTCCCATCTCTTCCTCCTTGTAAGGGACCATATCCAGAGCTCCCTTCCGTCATCTTGCCCCTTAAGCCCTGGTTTTTATTGAGGGTTCCTGCTCCCTCCATTTGTGAGAGGGGCCCTGCCCTCCCTACCTCTGTAAGACTCCTATCCCACTTTGCTCACTTTTTGGGGGGTTCCTGTCCCTCCCTTCCCTTCCTCGTACCTGGCGACAGCGACCCAGTCACCAGCTGGTACAGGGATCGCGCTGCCTGCCCCAGCGGGCTCCGGCACCTGCGGGGGCATCGGTTCATGGCTCCGCCGAGAGCTCGGTGGCCAAGCTCCGCCCCGAGGCCCTGAGCGGGTCGGGTCTCCGCCCCCAGCCGAGTGGGCCCTGCGTGGGCGGCGCGGGAAGGCCGGACTGGCAGGGGGGGGGGG